TACAAACATCACTGACAAAGAAGGCAGAGAAGGTCCCTTGCAGTTTAAGGAACACTGTAGTGAAAACTGTTCATGCTTTCAATGCAACTTTGACAAACATTATTTTCGCTTCAGTGTTGTGGGCCTCAACCCATGCAAATATACTTTGTTATTTGAGCCCTACAACAATATAGGCTTTCAAAGTCAAATGTAATATAAAGAGCTTCAGTAAGCATCGGTTGACAATGAAACATGTTGGTAACCAGAGTGTGGTATTGTCCAAAGCCTCTGGATAGAAAAGTGCTGAGTTAAAAATCAGAGAGGGGGAGCAGTGACAAGTGACCCAGCCAGCAGCTAGCCCTATTCATCTGTGACACTAACTGCCGAGTGGAAGCGCAGAGCAGGATCCATTTCCTCTGTTCCCCCTACCTGACAGTGGGACACTGTGTGTGTGTGTGTGTGTGTGTGTGTGTGTGTGTGTGTGTATGTTAACATGAAAAGCTAAAGTGAGCGAGGAGGTGGGATGGATGAACCACTGCACAGACTTGAAGGTTAAACAGATCAGGGAGGAGAAATTGCTGCTGTTTTATACAGTGGCCAGAAGAGTAAGGGTGCATTTCTTAAGGGTGCATGATATTGTGTTAGCAGAATTAGATAATAATTGCTTAAAAACAAATTACAGATATCAGGGACCATTTTAAAGTTATGACAGATAGGCACTTTTAATTAATAAACCAACTTGTGGGATTGAAGGTTCTTGAAAGCCTAAATGTGTGCCACTGTTATAGCTGTAATACGCTCTCTTCTAAATGTGATCATTTCTGTCCAATTTTAAAAGGGTGATATTCTCATTGATTTACAAATAGACAGGGATCTTTGTACACAGTGCTGGTCATGTGGAGATGTAGCAACAATCTGACTTTATAAGATGTCCAGGGTTTCCCTGATATGAGTGAAAAACAGTAAAGCCAATTTATTTTAGAAGAGATACGTTTCAGCGCTAACAGCTTTACATTAGTAGATAGTGTTACATAGTGCCAGTGTGGAACTTGATGTCAGGAAATTTTCTCTCTCGTAAGTTCAATCACAGTTCTCAGCTTACACTTTAGAGGTGTGCTGAACCTGAAAAATTCCACTGGAGAAAGACACAGTAACTTTTTTAACCACAAATGGCAGCTGCAAAGCTGTGCCTTAGGAAAAGGTTAATCCCTTCCACTTGTGGGATTTGAGGGGGGAAACAGCAATTTTATTTAATTTTTTAATTATCACCTTTATTGGCTGGCGTGCTAGTGAAGATAACGACAGGACACATGGGAGAGAGACTGCACGAGATGCAAAAAGGTAATCAAGCCAGGAACAGGACACACTGAGAAATGGCAAATTTAATACCAAAATAAATGTGGCATGTTTTACACATTTGAATTAAAATAGTCTGTGCTACATGATAACAGCACCCAGCTGGGTAATTAAATCAGACCCTATGTTTTTCAGTCATCTGGGACAAGGAAACATCTGTATCAAAATGTTCCGTTTTCACCTACAGCCGATTACTATTCTATGGTTATGCTATTTTATCTTGAACAAATAAAAGTGAAAACCCATTCATCAAAACTCCACTTTACCTTGTAAACTTGCACATGGTGGCTGCTTGAAACTTCCAGGCAAGAACAAGCACACGAAACTCTGCTGGGTCCACGCACAGGTCATTGCAAAACCTCTCCATGCCTTCCTCCAGGATGGCATCTTCCTGTTCATCCTTGTAGCAGCAGAACAACTCCTCGATGCGCAGCATTGACAGCCCGTCTCCATCCAGAAACTCATCCTTGCGTGGTTCCCCCATCACTGCGGGTATGACAGGCGTCTCCACTGTAACTTCCAAGGCCTTGGTGCCATTCGACAGCTCGCTGGTGGCTTTGCTACATGGGGCACTGGGCTCTTCTTTGTGGCTCCCACCACCACTGCCACCTTTCTTATGGTGGGACTTGGAGCTGCTCTCCTTATCTCCACTCTTACTGCCGAGTGAGGACGTCGGATTCTTACACTTGGTGACACACTGGCCCATGTCTTCCTCCGCGGTCCCTCGTCTGTCTTTCCTCCTCGCCTTCAGTCCCCGTCCGAACCACCTACACACCTCTGCTCTGGCCTGGCAAGACACCTCAACATACCCTCAGGCCTGAGGTGAAGAACAATTTAACAATGTTCATTATCATAGAGTGTAGCTCTAAACTGAAGTCAATCTTGCTCACAATCAAAAAAGTTAAGATCCACATTTCTGCGGCTCTTATTATCAAGAAATGAAACGACAGGAATTTCTGAAGTGAAATTAAGCTACCTGTGCCAAATCTGCTACAATCCAGGTCTTGCACTGCTAGACTTAAAAACCCTAAAAAGAGAAGACCAGAGAAAAACATTCTATATGTATAAATACATTGATTACCATTGCAGATTACGATAGAAATGTCTACAAAAGAAATAAAAGAAAAATATGACTGGTAACCACAGAAACCAACTGAGGCAGAATTGATTTTGGGTTTACACAGAAGAACTACATAACTTTAATATGAACTTTGTTATGTTTTCCTTGTTGTCACCAAATGTTCTGAGCATGTGAGCTCCTTTCTTGCATTCTTGGAAAAAGATGTAGGGAGCGGTAACATCACTGTAGAAACTCACATCTTCTCCTAATCCTCCCAAAAATCAACACCAAAGTGGTAAATGAGGTTGCAATTGGCACATACAATAATAAAAGGGAATGTTAACTTAATGTGCAAAGTACGCAATAGGCAGGTAATGAAATTATTTACTTTTTATGGAGGGGAGGATAAAAAAAACTGATCACTGGCCAAACTAAGGTTTTACAGTAATAAAATTGATGCAACATGATTTCTCTTCAGCCTCCTCAGTTGCTCAACATAAGCTGGTTTCATGTGTACCTATTAATGCAATTAATCATTCTGCTGTCACATCTACACCCATAAAATGTACAAGTTGATCAGGTGTTTGATAACGAATGAAGTAACTGGTCAGATTACTTACAGACAGTCCCTCAGATGGCACTGGCCACAGATCAAAGTGTCTTTCTATTCGGCTCCATCATTGTGACCTTGACATCCACAATGCTGAAAAGACATATCATCTTGTCATCATAAGCAGAAAGTGATAGCTCATCATTCTCCAACCTGCAGAACTTTTTCAGTCAACATGCTATGAATGTGTAATTTGATCACAAGACAATAGTTTGTCTTATTGTACAATTATTCCCTTACTCATTTGTAACTACAATGAGGATGGTCAATAGCATTTGAACTGAAAACATACTGTGCACTGTGGACTTAAGCAGGGCTTATAAATCTCTGGTTCTGGGGTTAAAAATCTAACACTGGGATTCCAGTTAGGAACCTCACACAGGGCACAGGGTAGCTTTGTCCTGAATTACAGCCCAGAAACTATGTTGTAAAATCCCACACTTCGAGCTACTTGTAAATTCTTCTTCTGAAACCAACTTTTACTTTGTGTGGTTTTCTTTGATCATGTCAGGCCATCAACGAAGAAAATCTATGTTCATCATCAGAGCAAATCGACTGTGTGACTGATCATTGCACTGGGCATGTACAGGCAAATCTCTCACAGGTCCGTTCGGCTAACTCCCATAACTAACAATTGATGGACGTGTGAAGGCCTGCTTATTAATTACAATTTCTTAATTATCATCCTCAACAAGCTAGCATGCTAGGTTAGCAAACACTTGGGTGTTCATTAGTTTAGATTGTTAGTCCGAAAGCGGTCAGAGATAAGTTTAGCTAGAATACAAATGTGTGATATTTGTACCATTGATGTAAGTGCACAGCCTCAGTTAAGTGAGATATCTGACAACAACTAACGTTAGCTAGCATTAACGTTATTTTGCCAACTTATGTTCTTTGGGAATTGACGAGCAGAAACAGGATCAAGTGAGCTCAACAGCACATTCACAACACTAAAAATGTCTTGTATACAGTGTTTTGATAATCACTTACACCTGGCAATTTGACCATTCACTCACTCAGATGGTACTTGTTGTGAAGCTGTTATCGATTACCAACACATCATCGCCGCCGGGCCATTTACATCTAAACTGCCTGGCCCTGGCGACGTCGCCATAGCTAGCTAGCATCAACTCGGTTAACTAAAAGTTAGCTATCGGCTAAGCTAGGTCTTTCGCTTAAGACACCGAGAAATACCACAACTATCCTCGTCAATAAACTTACCTTTTTGGAAAATTCTACTGTGTTGAACTGGATGTACATCGCTCCAGGAATGCCAGTACAAATTAAGTTGTTCGTAAGTTGACCAAGGTAGCGTTTACGAGCAGAAGCGAACTGAGGCAAACTCGTCGCGTTAACTCAGATAGCTAGCTAACTAGCTGGCAGCTGACAAAAAAAACTTCCACATCAATATCGCATTCTCCGTCGCTTTTAGAATAAAATCAACTAGCAAAAAGCTAGCAAACCAGAGTGTGCTTTTGAATCCATCTTGAATTGTGTTCGTTCTTTGAAGACAGTTAAAAGACCACCTCGGACTACACCAGCCAGTTTCTTTGTGCTTCCCCCTTTTAGTCATTGAGTGTAGCTACATTATGGGCATTTTCCTGCATCACTTCCTCCAACAGCTGATCTTCATCTGCGCGGTGGCAGCGATAAAACTAAATCTGTTCGTTTTAACAAAGTCATGTTATTGTAAATACTACATTACATCCAGATGGACGACTTATTTCAGAATTAATTATTGAAGCGCTGGTTTTGACGATGACATTTTACTGAGCTTTTAGAGAATAATACGGAACACTGGAAAATATGTGAAAACACCTCTCTAACTCACCTGAAATTACTTAAACTGGGTCTATAAATATTGAACTATATAAATGTATATTATAATTTAAACAGCTAAGTCATCTCCAACTTTGTTTACGGTAAAAAAAAAAATTACAGTCAGTCATTTATGTTATTATTATTATGGGTTTATTTTACGTTTCCTTCTTGCAACCTTTGAAAACGTCATCATCAGTGGACAAGTGTTTTTCTGCTGCCCTAGCAAGCTGCTTGCGAATTAGCCTCTTCTTCAGACACAGTCGGTAGGTCAAAGTTTTTGCTGTCAGATAATTTGGAAAACGTGATGAACGATAACGCTAATGCAAGTCGTTAGTGTGAATGTGGCTCTCGCCCCACGACTAATTTAACCAAGTTCTCTGAAACAACAGATGCTCATCTTGGGCTGTCAATGTGAGAGGGCTCAAGGAGAGCTAGCTTTATGCTAACATCTGATGCCGAAGTATGAGAAAACAAGAGCTAATACAAATAGAATTATATTATTCTTAAGACTTCCTTTAATCTCTCTCTCACACACATACACACACACACACACACACACACATACATATTAGAATATACAATTGATACCTTACAGTCAGTCATGTAACTGTTAAAAGGCAATGTTTGGAAAACAGCCCCGTGTAGGTTTTAGTGACATCTACTGTTGAGTGATGGGGACTCTCCTGAAAAGAAAGCATGATTTAACCCTGGGCCCCAGACTTCAAGGGGCCCAAAATGTCCTTGGTTCCCTGCATGTCAAGTGGATTTGGTAATTTGATTATTTGCAGATGTAGTGGGGAATCTGTACCTCTAAAGCACATCTTCAACAAAGGCACATCATCTGTTATTAACAAATCTTGCTGGTCTCTTGCAGAGGGGCAGATTCAAGATCTTTATTATTTTGTTTTTGATTGTCTTGTTTTTGGTGCATGTTTGTTAATGCTCTGTTTAATTAAATCACTACAAACTCACAAAGACACTGAAAACTTCTGGTATTATTCCAGCATAGTAATGGTTGGTTTTTATGGTTTGTGGCACAAATAATGACACCACCATGTTTAGTGTGTGTGTGTGTGAAGCAAACATATTGGGAAGACTTTTTGAAGAATTCTCTTATCTTAATAAAAAAATCTTTTAGATAACATAATGTACCTAACTTCCTGTCCTCAAAAGATACATACACCTGGATTATAGATGTGTGACAGCCTAGCACTATGTTCTCTCGTCACCACTCATAAGTAATATGATGTCCAGCAAACTGTTACCAAACTTGCAGCCTTTTGCATGATGTAGTGTCTGTAGAGGTATATAAATTGACAAAGAGACTGAGTAAATTCAACTAGGGGCAGGCTGTTGGAAACATGATTGATTTTGTGTGTAATCTTCATGACAATGCATCAAAGTTGTCAACAAAACAGGGTATCTTTTAGCAGGAGTAGCGCATAAGAAACAGATGATACGATAGTATTAGAAGGGTTTGTAATGTCATCAAGCTTAATTTCCTTTATCATGCTTGCACCTGCTGTTTTCTCAGATTTTGATCCCAGATGACGGCTTCCACTCGCAGGACAGTGCTGTCACTGTACATGCGGGTGTTTCGCATCGCCCGAACCTGGCAGGCACAGAGTGGGGTTACAGGTGACACAGAGACTGAGAGAAAGTACATACTTCAGGAGGCCCGCACTCTATTCAGGCAAAACCAGCAGGTGTGAACAACAATATTCTGCTCATGGAAATGAATGTACAGTTGTTTTATAGGAGTGTGCATTACTAATCCCTTGTTACTTGTTTCAGCTCACAGATCAAGAGTCAATAAAGAAGTGTGTAGAAGAATGTGAAGCAAGGATAGAAATAGGTAAGACACAAGTTTTCCTTAGAAAACTCTGGACTAACCTTTATCCTGCTCAGACAAGAGGCCGTTATTTAAAGTGGTGCTTTCATTTGTTTTCTGTTTATCAAATGAGAATTCAGGTTGTTTTTATGATTTCTGTTTTGTTTAGCCTGAAACTTTTGATAAGAATCTCAAGTTGTATTGTGGCCTAAATTCAGTGAAACATCCGCCAGGTGCAGAAATGATGAACCATATGACACAGTTGCTGTAACGTTTTCATTAGGTGAATGATACTGCTCTCTACATCTCAATCTGAGGGTGTAACTCAGTGATGTCTTTGGTCAGTTGTAATATGTGATACAGTGTGATAGAAGTATTTGTCACTGAGTGGTTGTGCAAGTTCATCTGAAAGTCTTGAGTAAGCAGAGGAATAAACACTGACCTGATGATCTGAATGTTGCTGACAAAAGAAAAGCCAGACAAAGCAAAACCATCAGCATGTTCAGGGTTTATTTTGTCAACAGTTAACTGAAATATAAGCCTGCTGTAATCACTTGTGTAAATAACATATGATATGTTTTGCCTATTGCATGCTCATTTATTATTTTATTTCATTTCATTTTGGTCAGATTATAAGAGATTAGTTCATTTGTAGACTTAAACTGTTTATACAACTGCTCAACCTTTTATCTAATGTGTGCTATAATTGGACCACATGAATACATCAACAAAAGTTTATAATCTGTCTTTGAAAGGAATAGATAAGACATTATAAAACAATAAATAAGTAATAAGACAATACAGATTAAATGAACACCTCAGAAATCATCCATATACCAAGGGAATCAGACACTTTGGGTAGGGCCATGCAGGACTGTAGGATTTGCTCTGAAAGAATAATGTTTTCAAGGTTTCATATGATGTTGAGAAGCCCCTTCAACATTATTATTTTCTTCACAGGTCTACATTACAGGAACCCATATCCAAGGGCTGTAAGTTACCGTTTATCAAGCCTCCTTAATTCTTTTTGTGTAGTTATTGTGTTGTTGATACATTTTATTCAGTTATTTTGTTCTCTGAATGTTCCTTTAGTCCTACTTACCACCACTGGGACTTGCAACTCAGAAGGGCAGGAAGCTACGAACGCAGCAGCGCCTGAGGAAGCAGGCCAAGCCAATTTACTTACAGTCACATGACGAGACATGATGCTCGATTTTGCCGATCCTCGCCGAGAGTTCAAGTTACCAAGGACAGGAAACTAGAGTGCAGTCACAAGCTGATCTCACGGGTTGAGTTGTTGCAAGCACTCTATCATCAAGAACATCTGTCATTCAGGAAAAAGCCGCTTTTCGCTGTCATGTCATTTTTTACTGTGAACTATATAAATATAAATTCTTATTGCAGCTGAGGAGTGTCGGTTCTGTAATATAAGATCAACTTGTGTATTTTATTTATTTTTCTGTGTAAAAAAAAAAAATATTGTTCCTCACATTCTTTCCATATCAAATGGAATCATATCGACCTGTCATGTTTAAATTGTGTCAAAATACAAACATTCATTGTAATTAAACTGCTAGGAAACAACGTTGTCTTAAAGCTAAGTCTTACAGTATACACTAAGAATAAATTTGTGAATTGATATGAAGAATTCACATAATATCTATGTAAGATCTCTGGGACACATAACTCTACCCCAGCATGTATCCTTTTTAGGAACCACCCCCATTCCTCAGCTTTTCCATGCAGATAGCCTGTTAAATCATGTAGAAAATATGAAATAAACGCCAGAGGTGTTGGCAATCGCACGGGGAAACAATTAATTTGTTATATAAAATTCACAATCACTGGAGCAGATGCAGATGGTGGTTCTGAAAAGTTGTAGAGGAAGGGCTGGGCGACGTAGACTTCAGGGACAAACAGTATGAGGACCTTTGACTGTACAGTACATTTTTGTTGTAACAAATATCCAAGCACGTGCAATATCAGCAACATGGATCAGACTTTAAAGTGCAGCCCAGTAAGGGAGAAAAACTTTGTTCAGTCTGACTCATGTTAAAACTTGCTGAACACTAAGCTCAGTATTTGCAAGAACGGACTACTGACCAATTACACATAGAAGTATACAGTAGAAAATGTTGTTTTGAAAACAGGCCACTGTCTCATCTCATTTCCAGCATTACATTATATAACATTGGTGCATTTTGCTTGTACAAGTGTGCGAACAGTATGAGGATTGAATGTACAGTATAAGTTGGTGTGAAAATGTTCCCTCCTGTAAGATGTTGATTTAAATTATTATCAAAAATACCCAATTAATTTTGCTGCAAAGGCAGTAAAAATGAAAAAGTATATTTCATTGACAAGAGCGAGCTAAATCATATATACCTATATTTAATTTGTTCCCTAAACTAGTAATTTGAAACAGTAAAAAGCAGTGATTAAAAGTTAGGTGTCAGAAGCAGCCAGATAATGTGATTTTTGGATCAGACCAGCTACAATGATGCATAGGCTCCTATTTAAATAAAGTGGCACATTTCAGTGAGTTGGCTACCTCCCAAATGTACTTGAAAAGCCCTCTGTAGCTGCTGTATTCTGTGGGGACTACAGTATATCTTATGTTTGCTCCACTTTCCAGCACTGAGTGGAAAATCAAAAATGTGGATCAGCAAACATGACTCTTGATAATCTCAGCAGGGCACACATGTACAGTTCTTTATTGTTCTCTGGTGATACAATGCTGTATGTGGACTTTATCAGATCTTTTTAATTTCACACCCTGGACTGAGTCAACTTCACAAGCACAGTCTCCTCTCTTCTAGGACTTTTTGAGGGCATTCTCTTTGTCCTTTAGCGTCACATTGACCTGCATTCAGCCACATGATGGAGCCAGATGAACACAGAAGGGTGTATGTTTTCCTGGGTGACGTCAGTGCAGGGGCTGACGAGCCAGACCCCAGCCTCAGGCGTCTGAGCTATGGTGTCTTCACAAGTGAACAGTCCTGGTTTAAACATGGAACTAACATGTCCTATATAAATTGTATTTTGTCCTCTCACAGGGGACAGAGAAAAGGGTGGATACAAGAAATATCATGGAGAGGGAAAATATTGTGTGTGTGCATGTGTGTGTTAAAGAGGAAAGGGCGTCTGTCGCCTCTAGCTCCAATATGTGAACATAAAATCAGAAAGTACTGATAGATGTTTTCAACTCTACAATGGCTCCTGTTTCAGTCATGCCGTCACAGATCCCGCACAGTGCTACAGGACCTAATAAGTGACGCACACAGAAAATAAGGTTTGTAAAGGAATCCTCAAGGGAGACTGTCTGTAAAATAATCTCTTGAATGACAAGGGGTCAGACGAGGAGACAAAGTAGGAAGACGAACCTGCAACAACATCAGGTCCAGCTAAACTAAACTAGGTTGTCTGCAAATAGTGGACCTACAAACCACTAAGATTAATTCTGGTCATCAACTCTGGTTTCTGCCGGACAAACTGTCAGACTGTCTGACTAAATGATGGACTGACTGGGTGATCACATGACCGACTAGGTAAACACATCAAATACAGCAATGTATTATTGCCTCACATAGTTTTAAAACTTGGAGAAGGCTGCACCGAGAGGAAGCTCCTCTCAACAGTCAAGTGTACAACAGTGAGAGTGAGAAAAACAAAGGTTTTTCACACAGCGTAGATGTTGCAAACAATCCCTTTATCCACCAGGGGTCACACCATACTTACTGAGGCCTTATGAAGTAGTTCAGTGAGTTCACTCCACTGAAAGATGACTGGACTTTACCACTGTCAGTGGACCACAGGCTTTGCTCTGCATCTGAGGTATCTTGTGATAAAATCAGGTGACATTAAATATATACACAAACTTGGTGCACTGTATTAAAAAAAAGAGATGCCTTATGATAAGGAGCAAAAAGCAATCAGCAGTGAACCACTAAAACTGCAACTTTATCCCAAACTGAGCTATGATGATGATTTAATTCCACCTCCCTTCAAAAACTCATTTGAGTGCTCTGTTTGGTTGTGGACTGTGTCACATTCATTACCGCTTCAGACTTAAATAATTGTCTGACGCACAGTAAACACTCAGTTAAAGTGTGGGGTTGTTGCTGCTCTCTCTCTCCTCTCTGGAGACTATATTACCTCAGTGATAAATGACTGTCCTCAATATAATTGACCGCTGATGGGAGAGCAGCAGCAGCAGCAGCATCAGCAGCAGCAGCAGCAGACTGTCTTAACATTAATGCTGAGTACTGACTCACTCTATACATTCATATATAACATTAATGTTTAACAATGACTCCTCTGTTATGCACTAATTTCTTGCTGGGATGATATTTCATTCATTTTAACTCATTGCTGGGTTGGTACAAACAGCATGTCTGAACAGATTACAGTACATATGTCACGTCTCTCAGAAAACTAAATAATATGAGCAAGGGACAGTTGTTCACTTGCACTTATTTAGATGAAGAAAAAACACATTTGAGCACACTTTATAAACACTCTTACAGTAGACTGTAAATTTTCCATCTGTAATATATTTACAATATGTATATTTGCAGATTCTCTGTCGTTTTATAATCCTTCACGAGCTCTCAGATCTTCCACTGCCAGGCTTTTAAATACACACAATTTTACATACAAGAAAATAGTCTGCAGCTTTTTTTTAACTGTGCTCCAAAACTTTGGAATAGCCTGCCAAGAGCTATGAGAGATGCGGGCTCAGTGAACATTTTTAAACAACAGCTGAAAACCTATTTATCTAACTTGCCTTTTAATTAATTCTCTCATGTTTTACTATTCTTACTGGTTTCTGTTTTTATTTTCATTTACATATTTTATCATCTTCTGTCTTTCTATTATCTATTTTCATTGTCCTTCAATCCGCCCTCAGTTTATTATACTATTTGATTTTTTTGTTGTAAAGCAATAGAAAAATGCTCTATAAATAAATTGTATTAATATCATTATTAGTATTATTATTATAGTTCTACTTGGCTAAATGTTAGCATGCTAAGATGCTAAACGTAGGTGGTGAACAAAGGGAACATTATACCTGCTAAACATCAGCCTGTTAACATTGTTATTGTGAGCATGAGCATGTTGATGTTAGCGTTTACCTAGAAGCACCACTGTGCCTAAGTACAGCCTCACAGAGCTGCCAGTGTGGCTTCATACACTTAGCCTGGATAATATAGTGTGTATATAATACATTTTCTCAAAGACTCTTTATAGCCCCTTATTTCACGTTGTCTTACTGTATATAAAACAAAGGTCGTGTTGCAGTGGCAGCCATGAGCAGAAATCTGTTACTTTCCACACACTATCACCTACTTCTGTGGAAAGATGTGAAAGGATGTTTGAACTGCAGCACAGATTGGTGGAGAGGTTGTTACACATTGTGTGGAAGCCTGCTGATTTATCTGAATGTGAAGTGTTACAGCTTGTGAACTGTGAACCTCATGCTACTTAGGCTACTGATTATGACACATGAAAAACACAAAACATGGTGTGATATATTTCACTACTGGTGCACTGACTCTGTTTTGAGCAGACCGAATTGGCAGCATATGAAAAATTTGCAGACACAAGTGTTAATGAAGCAACTTTAAAGCTGCATTAGGCAAATATCCTATGTGTAAAAATACACACGTGGCACAGAAGATGCAACACTCTCTCTAGCCGACCTCCAACAGATCTGCTCTTATTGTCCATTTTTATCTCTGGCTCTGGGTATGGTAACTGCCATAATGTCTTTGTAGCTTCTTCTGTACTTTTGTAAAGTTTTAGTTCATAAAATATTTGCGAAAAGGTCAAACAGCCTACTTTCAGATTAAATTTGCTGTCAGGTGGGTTATTTATTTCAGTCATTTCTCCCAAACTCTATATTCAATGTAATTACTGGTTGTGTTCTTATATATTTTGCTCCATACCGCTGCAATGAGCCAATTTCCCCACAGGGATCATTAAAGCGTTATTTGTCTTTCAAGTACTTTATGTTGACATTCAGTTTGGTTCCAGCATGTTCTCTCCTCTCCCAGGCCAAAACCTTATTCAAAATAATTGATAAACATTCTCATGAAGCGCATGTTCAGAGTTTGTTGAAAATCGTTGGATTTTAACTCTTTACATTTATATCTTTATCATTGATTATACTCAAGTAACATGTCTATTTGTAGGAAGATTTGCACTTTAAACCTATAACAATAGTCCAACCATAAAGCAATGAAATAAAATGAATGAGTGAATGAAATGGCTGCCATATTTACTCTCCCGAAATCATATAATAACCAAACAGGAGCTTTAATGCAGTTTTAAGACACTTATGTTGTTTTTGAAAAAATACAAAGATTTGAATTCAGATGGAATCGCAATATTTTCTATACTTACTTCCTTTAAATATGTTTTCCCTTTATGATTTA